TCCTTACTATTGTCATTTTCCTCTACTTCTATTGTATGTTTGTCACACTCTTGTGACCTGCTATTTCTGGGGTGCCATGATAGTCGAAGCAGACCTAGTGATGTTGAAGCTGGAAAGGTAAGCAGAGTAAGTCTGATTCCCTGTAAAGACTTCTCTGTTTACACCCACGCCTTGGCGCTCATATGACCTTATGAAGTTGCGAGCGCCGTAAAACCCTCTGCTATAAAAAAAACAAAAAAACAAACCCAAACTCAGCCTGCGTTGGTCCTGACAACAGTGACGTGAGGCAGCCAAACTAAAAACTGTTTAAATTGTGAACGGTATCATCGGTTTACTATCAAACTCAGTCCGCCCGTTACAGGATTAGATTGTCCAGTATAGTCTTGCTATAAGCCAGGAAGAGATGAGAGCATTTTCGGAAAGTTCTTTCATCAGCGTGTGGATGGGAGTGTAAAAATACCCGCATTAAAAATATAAAAAAAGAAGAAAAATACCAGAGCTCAACTATGGAGCCAGCAACCGCTGACGCATGGGTGCATTTTATTTCTAAAGCCTTTCAAGATAATGGTGGAAACCCTATCTGACTGGTCTTATTTACATGATACATGTACGTAAGTACACACTGTGCAAGACTTTATGCACCGACGTGAAGTGCACATCATTCACGTGAAGTAAAAAACAAACAAAAACCCTGGAATATAATGTCTTATCTGTGAATATTGTATTGTGAATGTTTTGTGCCACCACCGATGCAATTTACAGTTTATGTAGGAGATTAGCTATTTCAATCCTGTCTGTCAGGGTCAAACCTGAGATGAATGCAACGTCCTGGCAGACAGACGTAAATACGTAAATAGGCTACGGTAGCCTACGGTACTCAATAAGACAAAACCTTCCGGCACGGGTATCCAACTCACGCCCTGTGTGTACAACGGTGAAGCCCCGACAATGACAATGACACCCCTTATTCGTCTCGCAGTTTGAAATTTGTCTGGTTTGTTTACAAAGGTAATGGTACAGTGGAAACCACAACAGGCCCGGTAGTAAAATCCCCGTTTTTCCTACTCTTTGCCTTTATTAAAAGTTATCAGTGGTTGATTGGCGGGTGCTCTGGTGTGGTTTGCTTCTTCTTTCCTATCAAACATCAATTGTCCTGATCTCCCCTTCTTCTTGTTTTATGTTGTTTGTTACTCTCTTGTAACACCTCTAATCTTCTGGCGCTCATATGATGACCTTATGCAGTTGCGAACGCCGTAAAACCTTTACTTTTTAAAAAAGTTATTGGAAAAAAACAGGGCATCATCGGGGCATAATCGGTTATAGCAGGAACAAAGACTCGTTAACAATGTGTAAAAAGTAAGAGAGAGAGAGCGAGAGAGAAAGAGAGAGAGAGAGAGCGAGAG